AGAAGAATACGAATTATACGATAACTCGTTCTCCCATCATTATTTCTTAAAGGTTCCTACTTAATATTAGAACCACCTGCGACTGACAGTTCTGTGCGCGGGAAAGTGGCTAAACATTAGATAAATTGGATCGATATCGCGTGACAGATAACATATCAAGCCTCTCCACTAATTAATCGACGATCGCAATGCCGACGAACACGTTTAATGAATTACAGCTTGAAGGAAATCGATTTTGTTCGACTCACCGTGTGTCCTGCAAGGGCCTCCGATCCTCGTCTCCTTCAAGTGGACTCTCGATCTTCTATAAAAGAAGAAAAAAGAAGAACTTTGAACCAAGTATTTCATTTCGATAATTTATGGCTAAAGTTGGAGGACTTTCTCGCATCTAGATCAAACTTCCAGGGCAGCTAATTACTGAGCAGAAAAATAGGCGAACTTCGCGATTATTATCTCTCCCTTCCTCGGCTTTCCTCCAGCGACGCGATTACCGGAGATATTATTAAACCATGTAAAATAACAGGAATTTGATTGATTCCAGACCTGGACAGTATGAAAGGATTGCGTGATGCCAATGCGTAAAACTCGTGCAATTTTCTCCGCACGCTATCATTTTCATCGAGTATCAATTACTATTTTATGTTTCGTAGGTATTGCATATTAAATGTTACGTACTGCTATTCGCAGTCGGCCGATCAAAATTCAAGTGTGTAATTCCTGTGAATTAGCGATGGAATTCATTATACTGTACACCCGCGTGTTAATGTCACGTACCAACACGTATACGGTACATCCTCGAATAGGGTTTAAATATAAACCGATAAAGAAACAACTGATGGTTACAACTGCTCATAGTGACGCGAACTGTAAAGTCCACTGTACGAGTTGTTTCAACATACTTCTCTTTGACACGAAACTTGTACAACAAATAGAACGATAGTAACAAACGAGTGCATCGTGGTGAAACCGCAAACGGGATGAAAATATTTTTTAGCGAATCCCTCGAGTGAACCGCGATTTTTCCAACTGGAAACGACCCGACGTAACGACTCACTATTTCCCAGCTTGACAAAATATAACTGGTCCCTTGAACCTCAAATTTGATAAAACTTTTCCTACAATAATTAAGTAGTACATTTAACGTGTTAAGTAGGATCTCTGCCAAAAGACATGTAATAAAAAACTGTGTCCAATATTTTAACCAATGAACTTTTAGAAATAATTACAGAGGAGTAAGGTTTAGAAAATTGTTCCACCTGTTCCTCTTGGTTATAAGGAATGTTTAATGCATAACTTCTAATATTTTAACACATAGTTTTAGCATTTTTTGATTGGACTTATGAGCGAAACTTGACAACTATTACTAAAATTTCATTACTTTCTAATTCTCAATTTGACAAAAATATAATTGTTTTA